TGAGGTTCAACAAGGACAAGTACAGAGTCCTGCACTTGGGATGGAAGAATCCCAAGCATTGTTACAAGCTGGGGACCAACCACTTAAGTAGTAGTTCTGCAGAAAAAAATTTGGGGGTTACAGTGGTTGAGAAGCTGGATATGAGTCAACAATATGCCCTTGTAGCCAAGAAGGCTAATGGCATATTAGGTTGCATTAAGAGGAGCACTGCCAGCAGATCCAGAGATGTCATCATTCCCCTTTATTCGGCTCTTGTGAGGCCACATCTGGAGTGTTGTGTCCAGTTCTGGGCCCCCCACTACAAAAAAGATGTGGACGCATTGGAGAGGGTCCAGTGGAGGGCAACCAAAATGATTAGGGGGCTGGAGCATATGACTTATGAGGAGAGGCTGAGGGACTTGGGTCTGTTTAGTCTGCAGAAGAGAAGAGTGAGGGGGGATTTGATAGCAGCCTTCAACTTCCTGAAGGGAGGTTCCAAAGAGGATGGAGAGAGTCTGTTCTCAGTAGTGACAGATGGCAGAACAAGGAGCAATGGTCTCAAGTTGTGGTGGGAGAGGTCCAGGTTGAATATTAGGAAAAACTATTTCCCTAGGAGGGTGGTGAAGCACTGGAATGGGTTACCTAGGGAAGTAGTGGAGTCTCCATCCCTAGAAGTGTTTAAGTCTCGGCTTGACAAAGCCCTGGCTGGGTTGATTTAGTTGGGATTGGTCCTGCCCAGAGCAGGGGGCTAGACTTGATGACCTTCTGAGGTCTCTTCCAGCTCTATGGTTCTATGGTTTGGGTTACATGGGGTAGGAGTGCAGGAAGGGGCAGAGTGTTGGAGGGAGGGAAAGTCTGGGGTGTTAGAGGCAGGCTCTGGTTGGGAAACACTTACCTGGATGGCGCTTGGCCAGCAGCCCAGCAGGTTCCTCAGTGAGGGTCCCTATCTTCCGTGCCCCCATAGGCTGCTCAGAGCAGCTGAATACAGGGGACTAGGGATGTAAGTGAGTAGTTGACTAGTTAACCTAGTTGACTACCTGAGCAGCAAATCTGGAGCACTGACTACTTGCTCCCCCCACCCTCCACTTGCTGTCTGTGTGAGAATTAGCGAGGAGCAGGAGAGGAGCCGGTGCTAGGGGATAGGAGAGGCTGCTCTGGCAGCAGCCCTTGTCTGCAGGGATCCCAGTGCAGACCTAGGTTCCTTGCAGACTGGGGCTGCTGGACTCAGCACGAGCTCTTACTGCAATTAAAATGCAGAGGCACTGTGTCCTGGAACAGCCTGAGCCGGGACTGCTCTGTCTCAGCACTAGCCTTCTTCACAAGAGTGCTGTGGGGATGAAGACTTTAAAGATTCTGAGGTGGCTCAGATACCTTGGTAACAATACCTCATAGATGACCACTGTGACAGAGATTTGGTGCGCCCCCAGTGCACACTGGCTCCCGAGGAGCTGGCTACCGGCCACCATGTAACTATGTAACCTATGAAATTTCCAGCAGTTACACAGTTAATCAATTACATGTATTTTAACATCCCTATCCTACCTTAGCAGGAATCTAGAAATGCATTTTGCATGGGCCACCAAACAGCTTTCAAATGGTAACAACTCTCGGCCACTGTCAGCCTGCATTGTATTCTATCTGCAAGGCCATCTGCCACTTTGATCATCCCCAGAATGATCTCATCCCTCATGAAATAATATGGTTCAAACAAGAGAGTCCATTGGGATCCATTAATGCACCTTGTTGTTCCTCGTGTTTCATGCCCATGGCAACAGAACAGCCTAGGCCATGCTGACAGCAGGATGATGAAAGCTATAGCCATATTTAAACATGTTTTTCCTAGGGAAACCATGGTAGGATCCCTCTGATCAGGGTGCACAGGGATTTATTTACTTTATTTGTCTTTGAGAGCTGCACAATAGTTTAACATCCCTTAAATATTCATAGATTAAGGCCAGAAGGACCATTAAATCATCTAGTCTAACCTTCTGGATTTCTCTGCCCATTTCACTTCACCTGTTTTCCTCTGGATTGAAGCCAGAAACTTGTTCTTGCTGAAGCATATTGCCCAGAAAGCCAAGGCATTCAGTCTTGGTCTGAAGATCTCAAGGGAAGGAGAATCTACCCCTCTCTTACTAGTTTGTTCTGTCAACTATCCTTTCTTAAAAAAAAATATTGTGTCTTATTTCTCATGTGAGTTTGGCCTCAGCTCCAGTCACTGCCTTCCTCCACTAGATTGTTATTTATTCCCCTGAAAGGTACCAATAATCAAGTCACCTCCTCTCAAACTTCTTATTGATAAACTGAATCGATGGAGCTCTTTAAGTCTATCATGATAAGACATATTGCTCCAGCCCAGCATGCGGAGACACACCCTCTCCCCCTACCCCACCACAGGCCACAGGTATATGCTAGCAGTCATGTGCAGGGCAAGTAAGCAGGGAGCTGCTCTAGCCTCATGTCACTAGGGGCCCCCAGGCTATTTTAAATTACCTATGGGTGGCAAGCAGGGCTGAGGGACACTCTGGGGAAAGTGCACAGAGTGGCAGGAAGGGCTGGGGGAGAGGGCCTGAACTTTTCTGGAGCAGGGTCTCTGGGCCAGGAATATTCCTGAAGCCAAGTCCATATAACTTGCCCCTAGTATATGTTGTTTAATCCTTGATTACTAATGGACTGGAAAGTTCTTCATCCTCATGTGATACAAGCACACCATCTCACATCTTTCCAAATGCAAAACGAGTATTTAGTGAATGGTGCTTCTGCCTCATCATAAGCAATTTTACGGAACAGCTGTAGCCATGTTATACTATATTTCTCAGTCAAAAGAGCCCAGAGGAATGGTTCTAGAATCCTGCTAACAATGGTGTTAAAATGGGACTGTAATATGGACAGGACCCCACAATCCAACAACAGTCTGTCTGGATCACATAAAAAACTGAATTCAGCCTGTAGTGATCATTTTATCCAAGAGGTCACCAATTTCTCCTTTGATCTCTTTACTGCCTGTCATGGGGCCGACTCACCACCCCGGCACCGCTAGGCAGCAGTCCTGGGAATTAGCTCGCCTGCCTTGCTGGGCACCTCCCTCCAGGTGGTATCTCCCTCCTCCTGTCCATTTGCGGCTTAGCCCTTCCTTCTGGGCTAGCCGGGCCCTGCAGGTCCCCCTGGTGCACTCCCTCTTCAGGTACCCAGGCTCCCCACAGGCCCAACATGTTCGTGACCCCCCTGTTGCCTTTACAGGGGGTGCTCTCCCATTGTCCATATTATCTGCGTGGGGTCTCCCTGATCCAACCCAGTCAGGGCACTCCCTCCTCAGGTGTCCCCTGTGCCCACAGGGAAAACAAGTTCTAGGTCCAGGCACTAGCTCCCAGCTTTTGATGCCTGGTTTACCACAGAGTCCAGGTGCCCACCCTTGCAGCAGCCAGATCAGTCTTTTCTGCTGCTCAGCAAGCTGGGCCACACAGGCCCTCCAATAAACATCCATTTTTCTCCACCCACAGTTTCACTGGTCTCCTCATGTTGCCTGATGGCCAGAGTTCACCAAACTAGTCCCCTTAGTCACAGGGCAGCACGGCCCAATGGCCAGAGTTCCTTGTATCGGGGGGACCACATGTGCCCACATTCTCCACCATATGTCACGGCGTCCTCTTCAGAACACTGCCCTCCAGCAGTCCCTGTTCCTGTCTCTCTGCGTCCCCTTCCGAGGGGGTGTTATTTCCTCCGCTTGTACACCAGGGTCTTCCCTTTATCCCCTTTGCCTCAGGGACCCCCTGCCAGTCTTCATCTAACCCCTGCCTCAGGGGCCAACTGCAGTCTGTAATGGCCACTCATCACTGGCCAAGGGGTGTGTGGACCTGCTGCCCCACCCAGAAGGGTTGGCCAGAGCCTCAGCAGCCCTGCCTTATTTCCCCAGCACTGCTCTACCTCCAAGAAGCCTCCTGCTTCCCCAGCAGTCAGGTCCTTACTGCTCTCTTGCCAAAGCAGCAGTCAGTTCTCCCCTCCTGCCAGGAGTCCTTCATTATATAGCCCCCAGCTGGGCCCTAATTAGGAAGACCTGCCTCAGCTGAGGCTTTGCTCTCAGCCCTTGCTCAGGGCTGGGGTTTGTCCTTTTTAAGGGCCAGTACAAGGCAAGTGCCGTGTCACACTGCCCATTAGCAGTTACATCCCAGAACTGCCCTGGAGGATGGATTTTCTCCCCTGGGGCTATGTCCACACCTCAAGCGTGTTTTTGTGCAAGAAAGTTTACAGTAAAATGACAGAACAGAGGGCCTTTTGCGGTGAAGATATACCTCTTTCTGCGAGGAATAACTCCTTTTTGCACAAGAGTTCTTGTACAAAAAGGTGTGTGTGGACGCTCAACAGGGGATTCTTGTGCAAAAAGAACTATCAGAAAAAGCAGAGGTGCTCTGATGGCCATTCTGTGTATGGCAATCAAAACTTTTTTGCACAAGAGAGTCCATGCAGTATGGACGCTCACTTGCGCAAAAGCACATCACTTTTGTGATGAGCTTTTGAGGTATGGACGCAATTTTGTGGAAGATCTCTTCCACAAAAAGCTTCTTGCGCAAAAACCCTGCAGTGTAGACAAAGACATAGAGGCTACGTCTACATTGGCCCCTTTTCCGGAAGGGGCATGGTAATTTTTGAAATCGCAATAGGGAAATGCGCGGGGGATTTAAAGGTAATGTAGTCATACGGAGTTGCAAATGAAGCCCGGGATTGGAATTTCCCGGGCTTCATTTGCATAAGGCCGGCCGGCGCCATTTTTAAATGCCAGCTAGGTCGGACCCCGTGCCGCGTGGCTACACGCGGCACGGACTAGCTAGTTCGGATTAGGCTTCCTAATCCGAACTAGTTGTACGCCTCGGAAACCTAATCTGAACTAGCTTGTTCGTGCCGCGTGTAGCCGCGCGGCACGCGGTCCGAACTAGCTGGCATTTAAAAATGGCGCCGGCCGGCTTTATGCAAATGAAGCCCGGGAAATTCAAATCCCGGGCTTCATTTGCAACTCCGTATGACTACATTACCCCCCCTAGTTCGAACTAGGGGAGTAGTGTAGACATACCCTGGGAGTGCTGACATAGTTCCTTGCTCTAGTATGCTCTGGATCAATGCAGCCTGCATTCACTCACCTGGGAGGACTGCAGCAGTCCAAATCTTGGCAGGCTCCAGATAGAGAGGTCTGAGGCTGATGCACCTTGTTCTTGTAGTAACACACTGAGCCACCTGCTGAGCCAACCTTGTAAGGCACTGATTCAACTGTGCTTGAACACACTGATCGTGTTTCACCAAAGGAACATATGGGGAGGTTTATAAAGTCAGGGCAGAGGCTACCTTGATTCTGTAAACACTGTAATGTGGCAAGTCTGACTGTGGCCATTAAAGCTCCAAGCCATTGCGAACTCCTGTTGCAAGGCTTATTTCATCTAACATGCCTACTGGCTACAATGGAGTGGCATTTACACCAGAGCTGAATTTGTTCCTGAGATTTTAATCTAGAACAGTTATAATTCCCTGAATCACTGCTTTATGATATTTCATCTCAAGCAAATTAATGCCTAGAGATGTAATTGTAGGTCTAATGGAACAATATTCATATTACTTCTCTATGTCACCTGGCTTTCTTGCTCTATTGTCACATTGCTCATTTAAATAGTTGCACATTTAAAAATCTCGGCTCTGATGGTATACAAAGCAGCACACAGAAACGATCAAAGGAAGTAGGTCCACCACTGAGTAAACACCCACGATCCTTACAAATCATTCTGTAAAGTGAATGCCTCCTGCTGCTTCAACAGAAATTCACTGAGTGGTAATGGCTTCTCAAGATACTTCCCAGACTGCATCCCGTGATGCACTGGTGCTTTTAAAGTCACTTACCTGGGAACTCTGATAAAGTGGTCCAGAGCAGATCGGTGTAGTCTTCTTCTGTCAGATATTCACAGGCCAGGCTGCATTTTGCTTTAACTGCTTTCCTTCTATTGGAAACTGCGGAAGGAGAAAGAAGTAGCATTTATGACTTCTCAAGATACTTCCCAGACTGCATCCCGTGATGCACTGGTGCTTTTAAAGTCACTTACCTGGGAACTCTGATAAAGTGGTCCAGAGCAGATCGGTGTAGTCTTCTTCTGTCAGATATTCACAGGCCAGGCTGCATTTTGCTTTAACTGCTTTCCTTCTATTGGAAACTGCGGAAGGAGAAAGAAGTAGCATTTATGAAATGTTAAGTAATCTCTTCTCTATTGATCCTCTCCTCCACCTGCTGTGATTCTGGAAACTTGCTGCTGAAATCAGTGGAATGGATATGGCTAGAAGTCAACAGCACCATTGCAGTCAGGTGCTCCATTGTATTGGGAACACATAGACCAAAGCCAATCAGTTCTAGTAGGATGTCACCCTGACCTGCAGACTGATGATTTACACTGCTTTTAAACAGAACAGCCTTCTGTGACCTCAGGCTAGTGATGTTGTCATCTGTGTGTCACTATCTCCACCTATAAAATGGGGATGATAATACCTTATCTACACTCTAGGGCTATGTCTATAGTGCGCTCTCTTGAGCAAGAGATCATGCAAATGAGGCAAAGCGGTGAATATCGCCGTGCCTTATTTGCATACTTAATGAGTTGCCATTTTTGGGCAAGGGGCTCTTGCACAAAAAGGAGCCGTCTATATGGCTCCTTTTTGCGCAAAACCCCCCTCTTTCACAAGAGCTGTTCTGCTTGAAAAAAAGCAGCAGAATGGCTCTTGCTCAAAAGCCCCTTGCGCAAAAATGGTGGCTCATTAAGTATGCAAATGAGGCCCAGCTATATTTACCACTTTGCCTCATTTGCATATTTTCTTGTGCAAGAAAGCGCAGTATAGACGTAGCCTGAGATGTTTGTGAAGGTTAACTCGTTAGGCCACATAAAGAGATTCAAGAAGCATGGATGGAAGATGCTACAGAAAAGCAAAATATTATGATTATTTACACTATGGCCTGAAACAAGATCTTAGACTAGAAGATCCTTGTGGTGCCTTCTAACTCTAGGGTTCTATGATTCTAAGATCCACAGACCAGCACTCCTGTTTCCCTTTTTAAACCAAGCCTCTCTCCTCTTCCTGAGTCTTATTACCAACCCCTTTCATGGTCCTTCCTTTTAAAATATACTGTTAATATCAGTTGTCTACACTATAATGCACTCTATTGCCTTTCCAAAGGTCTTTAACTTTCCTCACATTCACCTACAGCATACAAGACTTTATACTTGTATAGTCCCTTCTATCACAGAATGTTAGTGATTCTTTGTAGCACAAGCAGTAAAGACTTTTTTACTGTACTAGGTGGCTCAAAATTACAGGTGGGGAAATTGAGGCTCAAAATGGTCAAGTGATTTGCCCAATGCCTTACAGCGAATGAATGGCACAGCCAGGAAAAGAACCAGTCATCTTGTTTCATAGACTCATATTTTAACCACTAGACCACACTGTAATCACTAACAACATTTTTCTAGTATCCAAAGTTAGCTTGCTCATGCTATTTCCCAGCTCCTAGGCAAGCCCTAAATTGATACCTTCTCATAGCAATATCCATGCCCTGTGTATAATTTCCCAGCTGCCAGAGTGTGTTCCTTAATTTAGTGTGTTCAGAATACAGTAACACTTTCCCTGAGCGAATCTAATTTTCAAAGAATTTTAAAGGACTTTTTTACAAAAGTAAAACAAGAATAGTAACACAACAAAATGCAACCAAAAAGATGCTGAATTTCTATGCAATATCTTTCCCCTCAGCAGTTCTTTACATTTCAAGTACCTTATGGTACTTAGCAATTTTCTCTATTTCATACCTAATTAGGCCTGTGAGTGCCAAATCTGGCTAGTCACGTTTATTGAATCACATTTTACTCAGGCAGAACAGATACCTGCCTCTAATAAAACTTCTTTGCAGGCTCCATAGCTATTTTACACCTTAGGTTTGTGGAATCCATCCTGTGTGTGTCCACCATAGAACCCCTGTGCATCGAGCAGCAAACAGGGTATTGTAACTGACCCATGTTCAAAATGAACAAACTCTTAATGTTTCCTAATGTGAGCAATAAAAATGGTGACCCTTTCCAAACCATTAGCAGAAACTATTTCAATAAAAAGAATCCCACCTTTTCTCTCTCATCTGCACGGCATATTTATGTAACCCACACACCTAGTGGGTGTAGATCACTGTCCCATGAAGTGGCACTTAGACCATACAGAGAGAAAAAGAGTATCCTTGACAGCCTTAGTTGACATCCAGTTGGTTTTTAGCTCAAGCAATAGACTTGTGCACTAAGCTCCAGAGAGCCCAGGTTCCATTCTGCCTGTTAGTGATTCATTTAGAAAGAGGAAAAGAGCTAATACTCACTGCTGCAGATATCTCCTGCTTGAAAGAGCTCTGTAGTTAGTAAAACTAATCCATAATAAGAAAAGGCATTGGAAAACCTGTGAGGAAGATGAGAGAGGAAGTCTGAGATGGTTGCACACACAATAAGCATTGTGAATCAAAATGGAACCTAATGGAAGCAATGGACTTCCATTAAATACTTTCTTAAAGTATGGTTCCTACTGGCATCCAGAAAATTAATAAGCCACTGAATCTTGAGTGAATGTTATTTATTGGTTTAAGAAATTACAGTATAATGCAGGTTTGAGGGAAGTGAGATTTGCTCCTTTTTAGTGCTACATCCATTGAAAACCATACATAAGCAAGCTGACATTGAACAGTTTGTATTTCCTCTTACCATATAAACCAAAGCAACAATGTTGTCAACCTAAACTGGGGTGTGAAAAGGTCTCTTATTTTGCCACGGTCTTCCTGTTTTGAAACAAACAAAAATACAGCTGTTGGATTTTGATTCTATTTAAAATTGACGTCATGTCATAAACAGTCAGAGGAAATTTGATTGCATGGAATCATGACACTTGCACTCTTATGTCGGGCCATTCGATACATATTACATAGCTTAGGGCCATAGTCCCTTCAGGTGTCTTCAGGAATACAAGACGAGGAAAGGAGCCACAATCTGGCTGCAGCTGCCAAGTTAAGAATTTCCCTGCCAGTGGGAATTCTCAGCTGGTGTGAAGTTATTAGAGCTGGCTGATACCACCCAAGCACAGGGGGAGAACGAGATAGTGTCAGCATGGAGAATGTGTAGAGAGGGACTTGGCTCTATTATACCAATTCACAGCTGGTGTATAATCTCTTAAGGATAACAGCAAGCTGCTGTAAATTAGAACAACCTCTAGGGAGCTCTAATTTAGGCTGGGGCTAAGGCCAGTTTGAGAGCCATAAGCAGTTCCGTGGTGATTCTCCTCCCTGTCTCCTGTGCAGGAAGAGTCTTAGAACAGGACAGCATCTGACCCATGCTCTTGTGGTTTAGGAAAAAAAAAACATTTTGCAACCTCATCCCTTAAAAAAAAAAAAAAAAAAAGCAAGCAAAGCCTTTCTTCATTTTCCAGCAGGAGAACTTTGGCTTGCCCAAGAATTTCTGCAGGACAAAGAGGCAAGCCAGCCTGTGCAGAATGTCTCCAAAATCTGGAAGTTCTTTGGAGCTTGGGGTTGTTCTATTATAGAAACAGAGGATAGCTGCAAAATTCAGAATCAACCTGGAATCCAAAATTCCACATATAGTTCAGGGCTGTTGAGGTCTGGGGTTCTGCTTTGCACCTTTCAGTATTAGTATAAAGAGGACCAAAAATGAGCATAAATGTAATTTATGCCCATTTTACAGCCTCTTTACATTGCCATCATTTTTAATATGTCAGAATATAAATCACCTGTCTGGAAATGATTAATTTTCCCAGAGGCATTGGAGATCCATTTTCAGCTGCTATCCGCTTCAAAGTGGCAAGAGCCTTTTCTTGGTTTCCAGATAACGCTGGCAGCCACTATAAAAGCAAAGTAGAGCAGGCACAATATTGTCAAAGACAGGACAATAAACTGACTGAGGCAGATGTGAGCAGTCCCAGTGAGAATGAGACTGCTTGCAGAGACACCCATGATGAATTACAAAATGGTCTTTCTACCTATGAATTTCTCCAACAGAGTTTAAGAAATTCCATATGTTATTTTCATCATAATATCAGGCATTCATCCCCAAACCTATCCTACAAAGGTCTCCTCCATTGCTTACTTTTTATTCTTGAAAAATGTTACTATATCTTTGGAATTTTTGGCATTATATT